GGCTTGGCTCCTTTTTATTTAAGTGATTTGATTTCCACCTATGTTCCTAGTCGTAATCTCAGGTCTGCCTCTCTGTCTCTTCTTCATGTACCTAGGTCTAATCAGAAGACCTGTGGCGACAGAGCTTTTGCAGTCGCTGCCCCGCGACTGTGGAATGCTCTGCCCATTCAGATGAGGCAGCCTGGGACTGCACTAGACACATTCAAAAGGAGCCTCAAGACCCTTCTTTTTAGACAAGCTTTTTATCGTTTTTTGTAACTTTTTATTTATTTTCAAAATTGTAAAGCGCCATAGAGCTTTTAGGATATGGCGCTCTAAAAATTTATATATTTATATTTATTATATTTATCAATATCAATATCGGGGCCAGAGCCATTTTATTTTAGGTTAAAACGGCTTATATAAGACAGCACCATTAAACAACACTTATGTTATTAAGGTCAGTAGAAGGGAAACTTTTAGGGTAATTTTGCTTGTGAACTCTCGATTTTGACTAAATGATGACCAATAAATGTGGACCAATTTCGAATCGGTCGTTCAACACAAACATCTGAATCCTGCTGGACAACTCTTTCTCGCATTATAGCGGAGCTCGCAGCATAGCCCCATAATTATACGAAATAGTATAGCATCAAGCCGAAAAAATTTGGACTTGAGACCGTACTACCGACCGTACAAGGTGCTACTTTTAGTGTGCACGGCGAACTGTACCACGGGCACTATCTTAGCCATTACGTAATGGAAGGGCGAGGGAGATGGTAATGCGCAGGCGTGATTGCGCGCGTAACTTGTATACCCCATTAGTGTGCGCCAGGAAACACCGGGAGATGACAATAAACTGCGCATACTCGAGCTCGAGTGTCGAGCTTCATTGTAGCGTACTGTGGGCACATGGCTAGGCTTTGCATAGGGGTTTCACTTGGGCTAGTGGATGTGAAGTCGCGTAAGCAAATAATTTGCAACCTGCTTTTTGAGCGCGAAATCAAACTGGTGAGGTTCAAGTTCAAGTTAGTTTTGGAGTTCAAGTGAGGTTGAAGTGACTAAATAGACTAATAAAATCCTGTAGTTTGGTTCTGAAATGTTCATATAGGTTTGAATAGCTTAACCTCTCTGAACTCAAATGTAAAAGAACAGAAACCAAGTTTTTTTAAAAAGTTTCCATAAAAACGCTGACCAAACGCTAATCAATATGATATTCGATACGTTTTGTTCACCTTTTTCGTCACGAGACAGAATCATTTGCCAGAGTTTAGCTGTTTAAAATGTTTAGAGAATCAATAAGTATGTTACAAAAGCTCTTCCCTAGTATCTTTTCTTTTTTAAGATGGTTAAAATCTAAGATTTATGAAGATAGCAAAATAAACGGTCGGAGGTTGCCAACAGACTAATTTGCATAATTCTGCGGTCACGCTAACAAAATTACAAAAATTTTGAAGTCACTAGAGCGAACGAAATTATGTCGCAAGAGGTCAAAAAGGGCCTTTTCCAGCTTTGATTATTAAGAGCTCTCAAAATTTTTAAAATCTTTTTCCAGAAACCAATGTGGTTTTATTTACTTACTATCGAAGATAGTTTAATGGGCAAAGTTTGAGGCGAAACGTTTTTTCCAACGCAAATGCCTTGGACCGCTCTTACAAAGATTGCAGTTAAGTGTTATAATTCTTTACTTATTTGAAGTTTTTTACAACCCGAAAGCAAGTGGTTGAGAATGCGTCTAACTTTTACTGTTCTTATTTTTCATTTTGGTATTAATGGCTTTCACTACAGTATGTTGTTTCCAAGTTACGTTATCTCAATGCAAATCGGCAATTTCACTCCCGGTTCAACATCTTCACGTGGCAGGCGCTACGTCTGCGAGAACGACACATTTTTTGGGGTCCCAACATCAGTTTTTAAGAAACAGCGATATTTACCTTTGTCTTTCATTAGTAATTTTATGGGAAGAGTGACAAGGTCGACTTTGAAATGCTTCAATTCAAGAGACTATGACGGCAAAGGGCAAGCGCGAAAAAGGAACGATAAAACTGCAGTCATGGATGAGAGTCGCTGATACATCCAAAGACTCTTTCTGAAAAGCGAACAATGAGTTGGAAATTTTTTGATCAGGCAACAAAAGATGGTTGGACACAAACTGTAAATATTAAAGGTATGTCTGGAGCCTTGAAAAGCTCTCTGTACGCCTGCGATGGTCTATATATCAAACGAATGGCTTCGAAAACTATTTTCCCGAAAAAGTTATAGCGTAAGACATTTATTCATTAAATCGAACTAAGTTTCGGGCTAAAAATCAGACGATTACCTTTGTAACGCGTATTTTACCAAATTAATAGCTAAAAGTGAAGAAACACATCCAACATTCATTAGATACTTACGTTAAAACTTTTCGCGTGCCCTGGTTACATCAGTCGTTGGACTTGCTATCTCGTTCTAAGAACTCTGTCCAGACTAAGGCTAAAAATAAAGAAGAAAACATAGTGGCGAGGGATTTTTGGCAGACGAATTTTATACGTGAAGACTAATAATAGTGTTAACGATAAATTAAAAAATGATAATAATAAATAAGACCTGCTCATTTCATGTTTCAAATCGTGTTCGATCGTGAGAAATGACAAGCTCATTACAACGCTGTTGAGTGTGAATTAGCCTTCGTTCGACAAGGAACCATGGCTTTTAGCATTTTTAAAACGTGTTTCTCGGATTTTCTTTTCACTTTCTTTGAAAAGCAAACACGAGCTTTATCGCTTCAGAGAAGATGAAAGCCGTATTTTCAATCGTCTGGCTAGGCTCATGTAAAGAAATTCTAATTTGTGCCTCCTTTGACGCATAATGAATTTCTTCCATGTTACTTTCTAACTTTACGAAAAAAATGAGCACTAACTTTACAAGAGAGCATTGCAGTCGATTTTGTAGGCAAAACACAGCTAATTGATCGAAAGAAGTCCCGGTTAATGCCCTTTTGTGTAACATTGTAAGAGCACCGTAAAAATTTCTGGGTAACATATTTAGAAATGAGTCTGGAATCAAAGGCTTTAACGCTATAGACAATTTTAGCCAATAAATAAAAGTAAACGCAAAAATCCTACATCCGAAGCAGCGCTGACGCACAATATTTGGTTTCTTTTACTTTTTTAACGAAGTAACTTTTTTAAAGTGCAGACTAACCTAGCATTCACGAATCTATAAATAAAAAGCAGTATCCGGTAAAAAGTATGCATTTTTTGGAACAAATTTGTTTATTTCCTTTAACCCACGCTTTTAAAAAAAAGCAATGTTATGTAAAAAGCAAATAAGAAGCATTATCGCTACGGGGAAGATGTCGGCCAATTCTACATTCGTTTGACTATAGGCCTATATCACGAGATTGTTAATTTTGGGCACTTTTGACGCACAATGTACTAAAGTTTTGATACAGGTAAACAGCAAAAATTTACCCTAAAAACAGCACCCAATAAAAAGTATGCATGAATTTGAACAAAATGTATTATTTCAGGGTTCTCTGTAATTTTCAGCACAACAGGTAAGGGACCTTTTTAAACCAGTAAAGCACATTTGCTGCTTCAGGCGGCTGGTCATTCTCAACTTTGTCATTTCCTAAGGCATACAATACATCGCACCTGTCAAACATTTTCCATCGAAAAATTCATAATGTGAACAAGGTTGAACAAAACAAAAGCTGAACTAAACAAAGTAAAATTTTGTTTAAAATCATTATATTTTACTATGCCCTTTCCAAACTGCTTATAACGTAAACTGGTCTCCCTTCGATTTCGGGTGATATCTTTGGCGTCACTTACATAGCATATCGCTGGAAAATCAGCGGTGTCAGCTACGAATCCCATCGCCATGAAATCGAATCACATCGAAAAGCTGAATTCGCGTTCTAATCGTCTCAAATTCAGAACTTTTACGCTGTCGAGAGAGATTTTATTTCCAAGGCTTCTTTCAAATCGTTTTTTGAAACACATTTCAAGTAGGATTTCACGATGAAGACTAGAGTTGTCCCCACGTGTTCGTTATACAGCCGGCAATTGTAGAGCTCTCAAGGCGGTTATTTCTGGCAATTGACTGCTTTTCCATCGCTAGTACGTAACCTTTGTTTTGTTTACCCCTTAACGTCTTGTAAAGCTCACTAGCCATTCTTCATGACCTTTTGTTACTGGACAGAAACGACAGCATCATTTGCTGCCGTTTCATCGTGGAAGCTGAACAACTAAACGACACCACATTTGCACGTGCAGAGAACTGACAAATGTCATGAGATTTAGCAGAAAGCCCGCGAAAAATCACTCTTGCTTCGAAATTCGAAAGGTAACAGTCACTGTTAACTAACTAAAGCACACGTTGATCTATAAAAACTAAAAAAAAATTTGAAAAAAGTGGTGTAGTAGTCAATCAGCTAAAGGATATCCGTTGTTAAATGAAAAACGATCTTTAATGGTCGTTGCAGTTAACGTCACGGTTGGCCTTGGGAAATTAAGAAATCTGCATTTCAAATCGGATAATAACTGTCCTTCATGGATAGTTGTCATAAAAACCTTGACATAATTTTATTTATTTACATTTAGTCATTATCTAGAGACCAAAAGCCATCTCGTCGGTTCTTTCTTTCTAGTCATAAGAAAGGCATAAGAGATTAAATTTTCAACAGCAGTCAAAACAAACTAATGTTGTTTCTTGTTTAGCCGTGATGACTTCTTTTTGGACTGTTTCCGTTCATGAAGTAAATAACCTGCACTGGAAATGATATTTTCTGCCCCATTATATCAAGCTAGGGAGTTAAAGTTTCAATCTATATTCGGCTATTTTGTCGATATGAACCGAAACAGTTGTGGCGCGGCACTCAGTTGATGGCCTTGCCTTCGTCTACTGATCCTAATACACTTTCTCCTTCACCTCATCTAATCCTGAATGGAGCATGTGCATTCAAGCCTGCAATCGTTTAACTAGAACATGCCATCTGCAATGCTTTCATCAGCTCAACCATAAGCCGTTGGAGGATTTCATACTGTGGTAACGGCTGTATTTGAACGTAAAGTCGCGGTAGATGGTTTGTGTGACAAAGTATTACCCTGCCCGTGGCATCGGATCATTCTTTTGAAAGCTGCATTCATTTTGCCATTAAGACCGATGTACAGCCAGGGGTTTATGGCACTTTTAGCTTGACCAAGCCAATGGATAGAGTAGATAGCAATGGGGTGCCAAGTCATTCCAGCTGTCACTGCAAGGTTCATTTGAAGCACTTGGATGGGAAACCAGCAGACCGCAAAAACCACCACAACAGTAATGAGCGTTCGAACAACGTTTTTCCTTGGAATCTGCTCATCTGGCTGGAGTCTGGAACATTCAAGTTGGCCAGGAATCTCGTGATACCATATCTTTCGCGCAATTATGATGTACAGGGCAGAGATGATGGCAAGAGGCATGATGTAGTTGATGAGCAGTAGATAAGTCCAAAAGGGCACCCTCGGGATATGTTCGTCTGTATAAAACTATTTTCCAAGGCTATCCTCGGCCATGTAAGAAAATGGTGTGACGGCCATTAAGGTCCAGGATGCGATCCAAATGATTGGTAGAATAATTTTGGCTCTTCGGAACCAAATCATTCGCTTCAAAGGGTGTATAACAACAAAATATCGATCGAATGCCATCACGACAAGGCTGAAGATCGAGGCTGTCATGGACACATTCACAAGATACATTACAGATCGGCAGAATAGATTCCCGACCGCACCAGTGAATTCAGAGACGTAGAAGTGCGCCATGGAGAAGGGCATCTGAAATACTGCAATCAATAAATCGGCAATCGCCATATTGACAAACAAGAAACTCGTCAAAGTTCTTGTCTCACGTTTCCTCCAGACGATGTAAATCAGCAAAATGTTTCCTTGCAAAGCAACGATCATAGTAACAGCATATGCCAAGGTGAAACCCAATTCCATATTTGAATCCAAGCTATGTATATAAATCAAAGTGCTCTGTGAGCAAACTCGTGAATTGACAGATTACTTACATAATTTTTTGGATTATGTTTAAGGTTATCTGGCATAGGGAATTTTGTGGTTGATTGTCATATTTAGAGTACGAGCAGTAGTTCAGTGTTCGCTAATGTAGCAAAGAAACAAAGTAACGTTGGGATAAGAAGGCATTACAATTGAAATGATCATGCTTTTACATTTGACAAGGGAGAATGATGTCATGTGTTTTAAAAATTAATTTTTTTTAGAGGGAACGGCAACGAATCCTGCAATCTGATTGGTTCTTTACCCGGTCAGTATTTTCCTATCTCTGCCCACGGGCCACGGTAACGCTTCCGTGAGTCGCCGAGTTCATCCCAACTTTCGTTGCCATTTTTCATAAATATATCTCGTTTTTCCGGCTGGGCAGTATTTTTAAGCAAACACGTCGGTCACTACCTCAAGCCAATAAATAACTTATGAATCCTCTGTTTTCTCTGTCTCAAACCACTTTGGTCGACAGAAGAATATTGGTTTCAGAATGAATTTGTATAAGCAATAGTGTCAATTACGTTGGTTGACAAGCGGCCTAAAAACCGTCTGCAGTTAACTTTAATCGTTCACAAAAAGTACATAGAAAGTTGAAACGTGAAGTATTTGGTTACAGTTAAACTGAACGATGTAACTTTTATTCATTTGATATCTGAATTTTCTCAAACAATTTGTTCGTAGTAAAAGAGCGAGCGAAGTTTTAATTTAAGTTCTACAACAAATTTACACTCTCGGTGAGTCTCTCCAAGTCCATTCAATTTGGACATTTGTACCGTAAATTGCACAATAGAAACTGAAGGAGTTCAATGAGAAAAGGCCGCATTAAATCCCTGTTTGTTTCGTTGGAGTGTGCCATTCGAATTTAGTTTTCGTGGAGGAAAGACCAGATTTACACACGCCATTGCAGCAAACAAACGAACAAACTCTCACAACTTCAAAATAGAAAAATTGAATTTACTCACATTTATTTTCCTCGCCGTTTACTAAATGAACAGAGGTAAATCTCCGTTCATGAATGAATCGTCGATAAAAGTGAATAATACTTTCCGTCAGATCATCAACTGTTTTTGAAGAAAACATTGTCGTGACAGTCCTAGCCAAACTAGTTCCGTTGGTTTTTCAAATGTTCTTGCGCTTTTTTTTTTCTTATGCACTCCCTAATTGACAGGTGTCAGATTGTGACAGATACTTGTAAAAATAATGTTCAAAGTTTGTTTGGAAGCCTTTTAAATCATCTTTATCGTTACGGAAATGAAAATGTTTCGGTGAGGCATCTCTCTTTAATTTGCATCACCTCTATTTTAACTACCATTTACTCGCTCAAAAATTGTTCAGTTTATGAAAGATCTTGCCATATTTACAGTCCCAAATCATTCGGGTTCTTTCTGAAAGAATTTCGTCAAGTTTAAAAAAAATATATGCTATTTACCGGCTAAGGGTCGGTCCGTATGGTGAAAAACTGTGACCTCGGTCTTGAAATGTTTTTCACCATACGGACTTCCCAGCCGGCAAATAACACACATATATCATTTGTGTTTCTGGTTCAAAAGAGAAGGTTGGAAGTAAATGTGGGTGAAAAGTGAAATTTACTGTCTATCATTGTAAATATTGGAAAATCAAGGCAATACTGTCTTAATGAAAACATTAATGATTCCCTATTTATCAAATGAGACAAACGGGAACGAGTTTTAAGTGAATAAGTAAGCCAAGACTGCCACCGTCATTCTGGATTTCCACCTGGGTAGGTTTTGGTCACGTGCTAGGCAACGCATCATCAAGAACAAGATAGAATTTCATTTCAGGCCTATTTATCAATTTTGTGGTGTATAAGTTTTGCATTTTGGTACGTAACATCTATTTAGAATCTTTAAAAAAAAGAAAAAGAAAGAAAATTGTTCTTTAAAAATTCATGGGAAATCGGTGGCCAAAATTTTTGTTTAAGGTATTATTTGATTTTCGAGTTAACCTGTAATTTCGTCAGTCGCCGGCACCTTTTGTTACTTCACACAGGAAAAACACACGATACGAAATATAATGATCAATTTTGTCCCTAATCTCACGCCATAACAGAAAAAGCTTTTGAAAACCTGTAAAACTCCGAGCGCTTCGGAATAAGTGATATTTTTAGTGAATCTTCGGATTGTTTTCAAGTTCAAGGATTTTAAATTACAATTTTATGGAAAACGAAAGTTGTTCTCTTATTTCAGTGTGAATCCTCGCACGCCTGCCAGTCGGTAGCGCCGCTTGTTGAAACTAAAACGAAAAAAAATAATTCTTTTAAGATTATCATTGGCTTCTTTTTCACTTCACCACTATTCTTAGCAGCAAAGGTCATCATTTCTTTTGTTTATTACCCGCCAAAAACTATCAAATGCACTAAAAAGCCTAAAATTGAAAAAAAAGTTTACAGGAATCGACCAAGCGAGCGAGCAAGTGCCATTCTCCACATCAAATCTAAAACTCGCTCTTGCGCATGCGCGCAATTCACGAGTTAAAAAAATGACAAATTTAAACTCTTATTTAACCTCGAGATGCTTCTTTCTCTTCACTTTCGTACAACTATCACGGTTTGTATATCTATTTTCAGAGTACACAACTTATATATCAAAAGCACTTGTTCAAATAAAGTTGTCATGGAAACGTCAAATTTGTTAGTATTCCTTATCAATTAAAGATGATAAATAATATTTTATTTTATTCATAAGCAGCCTGTTAGGCTTGATCAGAGAGTTGCAATGTTTGGTGGTGAATGAAATAATTGCATAGAAAAAGCTCTGTAGATCTTAAATCTATTTCTAAAAATTTGCCATTACGTTTATGATAGGAAAGAGGAACTTATATCATTATCCTCATGATATCAAAACTCTTCAATGGTGTGATCATGAGTTATCAGTTTGAATTAAAAACAAAAAAAAAACATTATTTTATATCATTTTTTTTTCTCTTTAGCAGACCAAATCTAGTAGGGACGCTTAGAATACGTTCCTAGACCCAGAAAATGTTGAGAAAACCAACATCATATTCAAACATTATGTTCTTTTTCGAAATTTCAAAAATATTTAGAAAACGTTTTGTCTCGGCTCTGGAAAAAATACAAGTGTTCGTCAAATTTTACCCACAGTAGAACGTGAAAATGAAAGTGAAGGTCTGTATCAGCTATACTTTCATATAAATATAGTTTTCCCATTCTGTCAGGCTTTTCGCAGTAAAACCTTTAAACTGAGTCAGCAGATATATTTGTGACAAAATCACCTGTAGCAAATCTTTACGGTGGCTAATTTACATTATCAAATCGGTTGATAAAACCGAATGACCTTATATTTAAGGAAAGAGAACGTAAGAACCTTGAAAAACGCAGAAAAACCATTTTACTAAGTACAAAGAGGAGGCAGGTGACCAAGAACTGCGCGATTGATGCGCTCTATTTTCAAACGAATTTTATTGACAAGCTCTTAGACGACAAGATCCTCAAATTTTTATGTAATAGATCTTCGGCGTTTCAAATGTTACCCGGCCATCGTGCCTGAAATTCAAAATTATCGCTTACTTAAACTTCACCTGAGGAGGTTTCCTCTTTGAAAATATGTTAAGATGAAAAACCATACTACACAGAACAGAGAAGAGGCAGCTGATCAAGAATGGCTGCAAATAATTGGCTCTATTTCAAAATTTTGTTAATCAATTATTGAACGAAGAGACCCTTAAATGTTTACTAAATAGATCTTCGGTGTTAAAAATGTTACCATTGTGCCTGAAATTCAAAATTATCGCTTACCTATAGTTCACCTGAGGTGTGTTTCCTCTTTGAAATTGTTTTAAGATGCAAAACCATACCACACAGTACAGTGAAGAGGCAGCTGTTCAATAATGCCCTCGATTAATGAGCTCTATTTACAGACAAATTTTCTAAACTAATTCTTGGACGACGAGATCCTTAAATGTTTACTAAATAGATCTTCGGTGTTGAAAATGTTACTATTGTGCCTGAAATTCAATATTATCGCTTACCTATACTTCACCTTACATGTGTTTTTCGCTTTGAAAAGGTATCAAGATGCATTAGAATTAGTACGTCAGCTTTCAATATCTGAAGGCAAAAAATTCCCCAGCCTCAATGATAAACATTTAGATTTGTCTAATTCGCAGTGAGAGTACCAATCATGTCGTAGAATACGGACAATAGATCGGTGTGACTCACGTTTTTTGAGCTAATCAGGAGCGGACGTGAAAAAGTGATCGGAAGAGGCTAAGTCGGAGCGAAAAACAAAGAAGAAGGAAATGATTGAGAAGTTAACGTTGTCGATTATAACCATGAAATTCTCGAGACTAATAACTTTCGTTATTTTTTAATTTTTCTTTTTACATTTGATCACCTTAACAATAATGATAAAGGCAGAAACTCGTGGACCGCTAAATTCGAAGCCAAGCATTACAATTACCTTTCTGTTCTTCTGAAGAGCCGCTTGATTTAAAAGTTATTTACTCAATTACATAGATCGATAACAAGTACAATATTTACATCGTAATATCCCTATATCACATATGATTAGTTGCCAAAAAGGGAATTTTGAGGTAATTCCTTACGCAAGAAAAATTTTAAAGCGCAAAATTTTCTTGCAAAACGAAAGAAACAGTTTAATGTCTCACGATCATTCAGAGATCTCTTATAGTTTAGATATACAGTTAAGCAAACTTTTTGTATATTCGGTAGGCTTAGGATTATTTGTCAGTTACGTTCATTTTATTGTAAATAAAGCTCATTAAATGTGATTATCAGTTAGGTGATTGGAGGGCGAAGAGCCACCTCGTGGAAGCACATTCAAGAAACCATTATTATTATTATTGTATCATCATGTATATAATTTAGATCTACGGTACGGCAGGTACACGGGTCATTAGCCTTCTCGTCGTTCGAATTTCGGTAAAACACATCGATTTCACGGATCAATATCAGTATCTGGGCCAGAGCCATTTTATTTTACGTTAAAACGGATAATATAAAACAGTACCATTAAAAAACACTGATGCCATAAAGGTCAGTAGAAGGGAAATTTTCAAGGTAATTTTCCCTGTTAACTCTCGATTTTGACCAAATGACGACCAAATGTGGACGAATTTCGAATTGGTCGTTAAACACAAACGACATAAGAAACATTTTAGCCTAATATCTGTCGTGCTGGACAACTTCTTCTCGCATTATACCTGAAACTGAATATGCCTGGTTTAAAGGAGATATCTCATAAAAGGTGTTTATTATTTGCTTTTTGACTGCTGTTTCGTTAATTATTGTACTGTAAACGCGCTGTCAAGTTTCTAACATGCTAATAAGCCTCCCGTCAATGGTGTTAAGTTTCTGATAAGCCCTCCGTTCTGCAATAACTCTCGGTACCCTTTTCATATAAACAGAAAAACTTCAAAATAAACATATGTTGCAAAATCATACTGTTATGATAATGGCATGAAAATGGTTATCCATATTGCTGCTCTGCACTTAGGTAGGTCATTTCAAAAAGCACTCATTATCCTCTATTTCAGAACCTCCATTGGTTCCGTTTTAACTACGCTTGCTGTATACGGTATTCATTGAAGTTGGATCTAATATGGATTGCATTGTAACAAAAGAAATATGATTCCTATTGTGGCTTTCTGTGAGTTTTTCATAAGCACCCTTTTCCACTCTAATTAGCCCCTTCTTTGGCATATTGGCCTCCTTGGAGCGATCATAGCATGAACAATTTGAATCTTTATATATTTTCATATTTTGCGTAATTTCCATGGGTGAATAAGCCGGATCATGTTTATTACAGCTGACGCTTATGTGAACTGCAAGGCTTTCACGCTATAGTCAATTTTGGCCAATAAATATAAAGTAAACGCAAAATTCCTACATCCGGGGCAGCACTGACGCACAATATTTGGTTTCTTTTACGTTTTAAATGAATGAATTCTTTTTTTAAATGTAGACTAACCCAGCATTCACGAATATAAAAATAAAAAGCAGTACCCGGCAAAAAGTATGCATTTTTTGGAACAAATTTTGTTTATTTTCTTCACCCCACGCTTTTAAAAATACAATGTTATGTAAAAAGCAAAGAAGAAGCATTATCGCTACGGGGAAGATGTCGGCCATATTTACACTCGTTCGACTACCGGCTTATATCACGAGATTCTGAATTTTGGGCACTTTTGACGTACAATGTGGTAAAGTTTTGATACAGGTAAACAGCATCCGCGAAATTTACTCTAAAAACAGCGCCCAATAAAAAGTATGTGTGAATTTGAACAAAATATCTTATTTGTTTCATTTTTCGAAGACTCTGAACTCATTTTATAAAGGTAAACCAGAACTTAAAGAATTAAAAATGTACGAACTAACCGTTCTAGATAATATTGCTTTCTAACGAGCAGTTGATGGCAAAGTGGTCCTGGTTAGTCAGCTTTCTGCAACGTTTTAACCACAGAATCAAAACATCCCTGCTGACTCATATGAAGTTATGAGTTGTTAAGTTAGAATTGCGACTGAGACACTTTTTGAAAATATCGTTTTTAAAAGAAAGTAAACACGCTAAGTTGAACGCCGTTAGGAAACGATGGTATTCTGTAACAAAAGGAAAAATTTTGAAAAAAGTGTTGTAGTAGTCAATCAGCTTAAGGATAAACGTTGTTAAATGAAAAACGATCGTTATGGTCGTTGCATTAAAGGTCACGGTTAACCTTAGAAAGAAGAAATCTGCATTTAAATAACCTTAATACAATTTTTTTATTTACATTTAGTCATTATCTAGAGAACAAAAGCCATTTCGTCGGTTCTTTCTTTCTAGTAAAGGAGTCAAAACAAATAAATGTTGTTTCTTATTTAACAGTGATGACTTCTTTTTTGACTATTTCCGTTCATGAAGTAAATAACTTGAACTGGAAATGATATTTTCTGCCCCATTATATCAAGCTAGGGAGTTAAAGTTTCAATCTATATTGAGGTGCAGCGCTCAATTGATGGCCTTGCCTTCGTCTACTGATCCTAATACACTTTCTCCTTCGCCTCATCTAATCCTGGATGGAGCATGTGCATTCAAGCCCGCAATCGTTTAACTAGAAAATGTCATCTGCAATGCTTTCATCAGCTCAACCATAAGCCGTTGGAGGATTTCATACTGTGGTAACGGCTGTATTTGAACGTAAAGTCGCGGTAGATGGTTTGTGTGACAAAGTATTACCCTGCCCGTGGCATCGCATCATTCTTTTAAAAGCTGCATTCATTTTGCCATTAAGACCGATGTACAGCCAGGGGTTTATGGCACTGTTAGCTTGACCAAGCCAATAGATAGAGTAGATAGCAATGGGGTGCCAAGTCATTCCAGCTGTCACTGCAAGGTTCATTTGAAGCACTTGCATGGGAAACCAGCACACCGCAAAAACCACCACAACAATAATGAGCGTTCGAACAACTTTTTTCCTTGGAATCTGCTCATCTGGCTGGAGTCTGGAAGATTCAAGTTGACCAGGAATTTCGTGGAACCATATCTTTCGCGCAATTACGATGTACAGGGCAGAGATGATGGCAAGAGGCATGATGTAGTTGATGAACAGTAGGTAAGTCCAAAAGGGCACCCGCGGGATATGTTCTTCTGTATAAAAGCATTTTCCAAGGCTATCCTCGGCCATGTAAGAAAATGGTGTGACGACCATTAAGGTCCAGGATGCGATCCAAATGACTGGTAGAATAATTTTGGCTCTTCGGAACCAAATCATTCGCCTCAAAGGGTGTATAACAGCAAAATATCGATCGAATGCCATCACGACAAGGCTGAAGATCGAGGCTGTCATGGACACATTCACAAGATACATTAAAGATCGGCAGAATAGATTCCCCACCGCACCAGGGAATTCAGAGACGTAGAAGTGCGCCATGGAGAAGGGCATCTGAAATACTGCAATCAGTAAATCGGCAATCGCCATATTGACAAACAAGAAACTAGTCAAAGTTCTTGTCTCATGTTTCCTCCAGACGATGTATATCAGCAAAATGTTTCCTTGCAAAGCAACGATCATAGTAACAGCATATGCCAAGGTGAAACCCAATTCCATATTTGAATCCAAGCTCTGTGTATAAAAAAATGACAAATTTAAACTCTTATTTAACCTCGAGATGCTTCTTTCTCACTTTCGTACAACTATCACGGTTTGTGTATCTATTCTTAGGGGACAGAACAGAAAATTTTTCTTTTTATGGTGTCATTAGCAATTCCATTTAATGTAGTTTCAGTTAATGTTTGCTTTTTTCTAATCGTGATAATCTAAGAGTCTCTGAAACAACCTGTCGACGATTACATCGTTGTGGTGCAGGAAATTGGTTTAATGGAAATTTAATACAAATTTCTTGACTAGCAATTTCCTTTCTTCGTTATCACGAAATAGAAGAGAATATTCAAGTTGTAAACTAATACATTTATTGCTTTGTCGTCCCTGTATAATCAAAGTAAATAAATCCTTTTTCCTTACCTGCAGGTAAACGTAGAAATTTTGTTCCACTTTTCGCTCAGGGCACGAATTTCATACTGATACCCTTGGAAGAAAACAATTTGTCTCGGCTCTGGAAAAAATACAAGTGTTCGTCAAATTTTACCCAGATTAGAAAGCGAGAGAGAAATTGAAAGTAAAAGCGAAAGTGAAAGTGTAAGTCTGTATCAGTTCCACTTTCATATAAATAATATTGAAGCTCTTTTCTGACATGCCAGGCCTTGTTATTCTTCTGTGATAAACATCTTAATATACATATATACTCTTTTTTAATACACTTTTAACCAGTAAAACGTGCAAAATGAGCCCTGGAGGGTTTCCTTTTTTCACTTACCGAAAATAATATTCTAGTTATACCAGCCATTTATGGAATATTTTTTATAAGCGCGTAAAAATTGCAAGCGTACTTAAATCTACTTAGGCAATTTATGTTGGCTAGAGTTCACTTTTCTCCTATTGCGGGTGGTTGCATAGACTTGGAAAGTTTAAAGTGTGCGGTTAGGAATAATTTTGCCGCTTTTGAGTTTTTGTTTGTGTGCTTGTTTTTTCTTCAAATGCATATTGGCATGTGTTTGAATTACAATTACAGTGTTCGTATTGGTCGCCTGGAAGAATCATATTGTATGAGATACATACAAGTGAACACGCTGACCTAAAAACTAAAACAAACTTTCATAGTTAAGCGAGTACTTTGTGGTATTGTTGCCACGCGCGCAATGAATTTCTCTATACTGGAAAAATTTTCACGAGCCTCGGGTACAGCGTAATTTTCTGATACAAGAAACGCAAAGTTCGTGAGAATCAAATAATAATTTTGATTTTCAGAAAGTGGTCTAATGGGTCATTATTTATTAGATGTCGAGCTAAAGTCTTTGTTCACCTTTTTGCGAATGTAAAATATCTTTTCATTATGCCTAAACGATAACCAGCGGCCTGAAATATGTGGTGGATACAGAGAATAATACTTAGGCGCGCGTTTAACTTGATACCTAACCGGTGAGATTTCTAGCTGAACACGAGAAGAGTAATTTCATATCTACATGGGAAGCATATATTATTTTCTTAATCATATAAACACAATAGCCCCCAGTTAACTGATAAGCAAAGTTGACTTTATCAATGGCTGAAAATCTAAGGATCGACAATCCCCAAATAAAAATCGTAAAGTGCGTTGACGCACTCAAGATGAAAACGTGCTTTGAATCACTACAAAAACGAACAATGGGCCTAATTTTCAATATATAAAATTCTCAGTTTTTGAATTGGTCCTTACAGACAGAAGAAATCTTTAAACTGCCAAAAGCGGACTGTAGCAAATCTTCCAGTTGTCGATTTTCGTTCTCAGCGGTGAGATATGCTAATATCAAAGCTACTGAATACGTAATTTTCGGTGTTCTTTTCGCATTTATGTTGGTTTCCTTCCCCTCCTAGGAAAGTTTGAACGTCACTGTCTGTAAGCGATACGGATTTTTCAGTGTTTCAGTAGCCATAATCCAAAAATATTTCGACAAACAACCTTGGATTGAGAATGGTGAAGGCGACTTTGTTATTGACACTCATTCATTAACTTGCCCGAGCTGTGCGAGTGACGTGGAAATCCTAGTATAACACCGTATTTTATGTGATAAAATGTATTTATCTGCTCATCGTTTGATAAGACGTGTTATGGCGGTGAACTAGAAGAAAATTCTATAGAATCTGTACCAAAAGTAACAACGCTCAAGTCTTATGATTGACTGCTCTGAACGCAGCTTTGAGCTCTCTTTTGTCCGATATCTATGATTATAATTTTCCTCCTTGTTTGCCATTGATTTCAGAAAAACTACCTTTTTATCCGGTTATTTTGACTGAATTTACTTTTTTGCGCTGCCTCACCGATGTCAGATCTCGGTAATATTTAACGTAATCCTCGATGGGAAATAGTCGTTTCTCGAGAAATAAACAAGAAACGTTTTCAGGGATTTCCGCAATTGCGAGAAAGTTATCATTTGCTTGCATCAGTTCCACGCAAAAAATGTTGCAAGTGACGTAAGTTGAATTATTAAGTTCGCCAAAACCATTCAGTTACCCATCGTTAGGATTTTAATCATTGATGTCCTGATCACGATCAAGAACGGGCCATCTGATCTTCAAACTGCAAACACCGCTGAACACCAAAACAATTTATAAAAGCAATCTTTCTATCGTGGTCAGTTTTCTGTTCGTTGCTTAATTTTTTTTTTCTAAATGAGCTTCCAAGGTGTTAGATGCATAACTTATTGCCTTAGGAACCACCTCAGATCTGAGTGAGAATGCTGGTCACCAGCTTATAAAGGTGACACTTACTAAGCTGTCAATCTTCATGTATCGTCATCAATTCTCACTTAGTTAGCGAATCACGTTAACTTAGGAGAAACAGTTCCTGCATGCTAAGTATGTACCTACGAGATGTTGACGCTTTACAAAATCATTTTCTACCTTAAATTATTTACTCTTACGGTCAAGGTCAGGCAAAACAAAAACAAGATTGACAATATAAAAAGTATAATAACTTACTGACAGAATCAGAATCATACTTTAAAAAGATATCTTAAGGGAAAATAGCACTCGAAGACTGTTACATAACAACATAAAATTCGGAGAAGAAAGGGCGTACCCAAGTTACTGCCTTTAAAGGAGCTAAGTGCTTTTCGTACAAGTTACCTGATTATAAATTTAGGGCGGAGGATGAAAAGTATCACTTGTTTACACCTGAGGTCACCTCTGATAAGAAGCGGTCGAGCGCGCTAAATAAAAATTTAATAACTATTTTCTTAATCGGGAATTCGACATGGAATTAACTTAACAAAACAAGAATATGAAAGAGGCTAAAAATATGAGAAGGGTTATTTCGAAGAAATTACTGTACGGGATCAATTTTTATCAGGTAAAGTCATTTTCTTCGTAATTGAACATCTTTTCGCAACATATTGAAAATGTTCCAATATTTAGCCGCAAATCGTAGTTTACATAGAAACATCTTTCTCAATGTCAAGTTCACGATCGCAATAAGTAAGATAAGACTGCCAAAAGGATAAGACCACCAAAAGGAATAGAAAATGATCAACTTCCTTGTTATAACTTGTTTTTACTGAATAGTTTATGGTAATATATTATTTCCATTCATTTTCCGAACACTTAAATGAGTTAAAAAAACGTACAGAAAATTGTTGCTGAATGCCAATTTTGTATTTCAAATAAAGGCAGCTGTTTCCTACACAAACAGTAGTAACCACAACTGATGAAAACATCGGAAGATGATCTCATAAACAACTCCATTTTCAATTTGTGAACTCAAATACCGAGAAGACTCCAGGTTATATATTTCAATGCTACATTTCCGTCCGTACTATTTGTATATTCATCCACGAGTCATCTTCATGTCACTCTCCTTTTTTTAACCTCAACAAGTTTAAAAAATTGGAAATTACTTCTATTCATTCCATGTGAAATTTCTGCTGTATGAACATGAGATCTATTAAAAAGGTCCGGATTTGTCAGTCGTATCGAAGAACAAAATATGTTCCCGAAGAACGAAGGAAAAAACATGCAATCAGCAAATAAAACAGTTAGTAGTCCTCTCAGCAGCTTTAACAGAGGTGCTAAGCCAATTGACTGCTGGGAGGTGTGACAAAATTATTGTCACCTTTCTATCTTCTCTTCGGAAAATTAAGGAAGAGAGATTTGAAAATCAATTGTCGAGTCCCTTCGTTCCAAAGATTTTCTTGCACCATTTCCTTTTCTTGAAGGAATCTTTTATCATTGATTATCACTGTTTTTAGCAAATACACAGATCATTAACTTTAATTGCTAGGCACAAACAGAGGTTCTTTGCTGTGCAGCCATCGGTTCCGTTCAACCTCAAAATAGCGATTTCCTGAGGAAGTTTGGCATGAAAAATATGATTCATTATGAGGAAGTTCATAAACAATAATTCCGATTTACGCGGAATTTTCTACAAAGCAAAAAAGTTCCAAATCTAGTGTGGATCCATAATAATTGAGTAATTTCCTGATATAACATTACTGATTATCATTCCGCGGAAGTTAATGTGATAAATTCTCAGCTCAAGGAAGGACGTGAGCAGAAGTGATTTTGATGTATGCCTGTAGAGATGCCTCTAAAGCGGAAGTCCTTGTCAGGAAAAATGGCAATTACATGAGTCATTCTTGAAAGAACGTAATGTTTGTTTAATTGTAAGAATTCACTCACGGCCTCAAGAGCAGCGCTCTAGATCCTTCGCTGCGAATACAAAAAATGAACTTTCATCGTGATTCGGTTTGATCTTAATGCTATTCTCTGTTTAACCAAAACTTGTCATGGAGTACTTACCGCTGATGAGTTTTAGTTAGTGACAAACAATGTAAAGATTCTGTCGGTTAAATAACTGATCATGAACGCTTAAAAAAGTTTATCATCCTCGCTAATCCGTGTCTTGAGAATTGGTGAATGTTGTGCTCATGAACCAGGTAACTCACCGGGTTTTGAGGTCAGCAAACGATTTTGGAAGATTACCGCTGTTGTGTCTGTCATCAGATTCGAATTAAACCTCAAATTTTGAGGCCATATGGCCACAAGATCTCCTTGGAATACATTGCCTGAGGCAAAACGGAAGGGATGAAATTACCGTTGAACAGTTCTATCATCAACGGCCATCCCGAGGAGAAAAACATAGGTCTTTTTCCGGAGTGGCCGAACGTGAATTTACAGCTGCCTTTTCCTTGTACAATTTTGAGCTGATCAGATATATTTTTTATCATAAGGATTCATGTTATGAGTCCCGTTCAGAAAGTTTTCAAATCAGATTTTTGTGGTTTTTTACTTTTAAATAATTTCTTCGCCACTGAGATAACATTTTTCCATATTTATCATTGGAACCTAAGTCACCGTCTATTTAAGACTTTGAAGCCCGTCCTTTTCCAGCTGGGTATCCTTCTACACATTTGCTCTTCGTTTGTGAGGTCCACACAGGTATGTTTTCATCAAGGATGGAGGAAATAGAAGGAAAAATGACACTGATCACTTTAGCAAACGGCCGTGATACGACAGACGACTTTGGGTCATGTTGATAACATGTATTCTTTCGTCCATATGTAAACACCCTACGTAGTATGATTACGTCATACCTTGAGGAAAAATGATCGTAACCGAAGGTATTTTTGTTCTAATAAAGGAACCTAAATCAATAGCACCGCCATTGTACCAACAATCAATTTTCCTCTCCTTTGATTAGCCGTTGTGATTAATGTGGTTTTGGTTTCACGAGACTCAATCTAGAGGACCTCAATGGGGATCGATAACTTTGACGGCTGACGGTTTATTTTTAAGGCTTTTGACGATTGATGGCAAACTATCAGCGCCTTTAACGGTTGACGTTTAATCGGAAAATATTTTTCTACGAATTAAAATAAATATTAATTTTTTTTGGTTTTTTTAGTTATTAAAAATGAATGTTACGTCAGTATCTTGCGCATTTTAGGATTGAATCACATTCGATTGTTACGTCAGTATCTTGTGCACTTTTAAGATTCTCCGGATTTCATTGGAATCTTGCGTTAGCCCTTCCACGCCTTTAGGATTCCCTTTTATCGGATTGCTACGTTAGCATCTCGAGCACTTTCCGATTCCCTTCCTTCTGCTTGCTACATTAGTATCTCATATACTTTAAGGATTTTCTTTCATTGGATTATTACGTCAATATATCGTGCACATTAACGATTCTCAGTCACTGGATTGTTACTTTAGTACATCGTGCACTTTTAGGATTATCTTTCCTTCGATTTTTACGTCAATTGTCATGTATTTTCAGGATTCAGTTCCACTCAATTTTTACGTTTGTATCTTGCGCACATTTAAGATCCTCTTTCATCGGAAAGTTAGTTCGTATCTTGTGAACTTTAAGGATTCTCAGTTTTCATTGAATTAGTACCTGCCTCGCGCAACATTAGGTTCTCCTTCATCTGATTGTTACGTTAACACGCTAGTACCTCGCACACTTAAAGGATTCTCAGCTTTTAGTGGATTGTTACGTTGGTACCTCCCTCGCGCCATGCTATGCATATTCAGGATTCAGTTCCATTCGATTTTTACGTTTGTATCTTGCGCACTTGCGTTAACGTGTTAGTACCTCGCACTCTTTTAGGATTCTTGGCTTTCATTGGATTGTTACGTTAGTATCTCGCGCACTTTTAGGATTTTCTCCTATCTGAATGTTACGTTCGTTTCTCACGCGTATTTATGATTCTTTTTCATTCGTTTCATTAATGAAGTCAGCTATATTTAATTTTGAGGTATTAAGCTAAATATCAAAATATTTTCAAATTACCGGTTTTCTGAGCAGTTTTGGAAGTCTGGAGACTAGTTACCATTGTAAGCATTCTTCCAGATCCAAAATTGTTGTGAGCAGTTTAGCAAGCGGCTAAAATATAGAGATTTTTAAACTGTTTAAAGGCCCAGTCAAAGGCACGTATCATTTCAACACATCGTGCAACATTGTTGGATCGTGCTGTGAGATGTTGTGAAGGACCTGACCGAACGCGTACAACATCTTGCAACATTAAAAAATGTTGCCACAAAAATTTTCAAACTTGATCCAACACCATCCAACATCTTGCAATATGTTGCTACTGAGTGGCCAAACGTGTGCATCACGTTGCGCGCAACAATGTTGCAAGATGTTGCATTCATTCAGCTGTGCCTTAAAGGTTGATACTGATTTGCATCTTTGACGACTTACGGCAGAAATCTTTACTTTTTGACGACTGACGTTTTTACTCAATTGCGACCATTATAGATAAGAACCCTGAGCAAACCACGGCGGTGAAGGCAACCAAGACGTGGCAAAACAAGAGATCTAATGGACAGGCTCCGGTTGTTCGAGGATTGGATAACACTATCCACTGGATAAATCTCTATCCTGAGGATAACGCCATACGTTATGCTATTACTTATCCGCTGGATAGCGATTTATCCGTTGGATAGTGTCATCCGCCCTTTATACAATTGGGCCCAGAAAAATAGCTCAGTGCGTGCGTTTAAATTCATCTGCATAACTGTAACGTGAAATCACCAAATTTTTGTGGTACGAGAGGGGAATTCTCAGCGGCAAATTATCTAAGTTTTAATTTGGAACTCAACGCTGCTCAAATATGTTATGCTGAAGTTGAATTGTAGCGTCCTAACACATTCAGCTATTCGCGAAATTAAGAGGCGATCTCTGTAAGAGCGATCCAAGGTATTTCGCATCGGAAAAAAGTTTTCCCTCAAACTTTGCCCAATAATCTATCTTTGGTAGCAAGTAAATAAAAAGTTGAATACCCTGGTCCTCGTATCACACCGCATGCAGCAAAAAATATCTTGTATTTTTAAACTGTGTGATATGTTAGGTGAATAAAAAGTATTTCAATTTTGATATTTGTTTATTCAGGGGTTCGTCATAATTTATTTAAAAACATTCGTTAGACAGCTTTCTGAAATTGGTCAAAAGTACTCTTTCCTTCTTGGTTGATATTGCTCAAGTCCAGACCAGACCATTGAAAAATCCGCTTGATTTCTTCTAAAAAGATGTTTGGCTGCAGAAAAATATAAAAACATCTTGCACTTATTAATTTTGTGTGACTTCAAACTTTCAGCGATTTTGCTAGCGTGACAGCCGATTATGCAAATTAGTTCATTGAACAAACTCCGACCGTTTTATATAAGTAGCTCAATAAATCTTAGATTTTAATCATTTTAAGTTGAAAAGATAGTAGGACAGAGCTTTTAGACTACACCGATTGATACTCTAAACATTTCAAAAGGCCAGAATTTGACAAATTTTACCCTCTCGTGACGAAAGACGTCAACAACAATGCATCGAATATCATAATTTGATTAGCGCTCGCTTAACAGTTTAATGGCAAACTCTTGACATAGTCACTGGTCAAGGTGTATTTCAGTGTGTGCTGTTATCGCCGGTTACACTAAATAGAATCCTGTAGTTTGGTTCTGAAATGTTCACGCAGGTTTGAATAGCGTAACCTGTCAGAACTCAAATATGCGTGAAGTAGCAGAAGCCAAATTTTTAAGAAAGAGTTTGCCATTAAACTGTTAAGCGAGCGCTAATCAAATTATGATATTCGATGCATTGTTGTTGACGTCTTTCGTCACGAGAGGGTAAAATTTGTCAAATTCTGGCCTTTTGAAATGTTTAGAGTATCAATCGGTGTAGTCTAAAAGCTCTGTCCTACCATCTTTTCAACTTAAAATGATTAAAATCTAAGATTTATTGAGCTACTTATATAAAACGGTCGGAGTTTGTTCAATGAACTAATTTGCATAATCGGCTGTCACGCTAGCAAAATCGCTGAAAGTTTGAAGTCACACAAAATTAATAAGTGCAAGATGTTTTTATATTTTTCTGCAGCCAAACATCTTTTTAGAAGAAATCAAGCGGATTTTTCAATGGTCTGGTCTGGACTTGAGCAATATCAACCAAGAAGGAAAGAGTACTTTTGACCAATTTCAGAAAGCTGTCTAACGAATGTTTTTAAATAAATTATGACGAACCCTGAATAAACAAATATCAAAATTGAAATACTTTTTATTCACCTAACATATCACACAGTTTAAAAATACAAGATATTTTTTGCTGCATGCGGTGTGATACGAGGACCAGGGTATTCAACTTTTGAAATTTACGATGTCGCAAGAGGTCAAAAAAGGGCCTTTATCAGCTTTGACTTTTGAGAGCTCTAAAAGTTTTATTTTAACGGATTTCCAGAAAGTAATGTGGTTTTATTTACTTGCTACCAAAGATAGATTATTGGGCAAAGTTTGAGGGAAAACTTTTTTCCGATGCGAAATACCTTGGATCGCTCTTACAGAGATCGCCTCTTAATTTTCTGATCGACGACATCTTCAGCGGTTGCCGTCCTGACTCTTAAACATCCCGATCCCAAAACTCTCTTATCGCGCACGGATTACCTCCAGGAATTCTGAGAACTGATTCAAAAATTTGCATGTCACAAATGAGGTTTTCAGGTAGAAAGTTTCATAAAGTTGTGTACTTGAGGCTATAGGTTTACCTTTCTTATAAGGCGCGTGATTTCCACATTTTCGACAAGCATAGGCACGATTAGTTCTTATTTTCTTTAATGAAGACCTGAGACACAGAGAGATTGAAGCATAGTCGCATAGACGTGCGTTCGATTTAGAAACAATAGTTTAAATTTACAGCTCGTATATTGTAATTAGAAGGTGAATTACTTCATCGATAAAATTCATACTTCACTTACTCGTTGGTTGAAAGTCTTCTTAAGAGGGAAACTTGCTAGACTAGCAAGGCATGCAAACAGAAACACATGAAAATGTTTCCTTACCGTACAGCTGACTATCAATTGAAGCTTTGTTGCATAACTTCCAGACTGTCCTTTTGCTGTAGTTCCGTCAAATTCCAATGATAATTCACGAATCACTTTGTGAATACAACAACGAGTTTATATTAGTGATGTTTTACTGGCAGGATGGGTGATAAACACGGCACGAGGTATGTAGAACTGCACTGACGTATCGTCTGTGGAGGGGAATCAACATTTGAAATGAATAATGCCGTTCACCTCTTCGGTAAATAAGTGTTGTTCACACTGCAGCGGAAATATCTACAATTATCACCTGCTTGGCGTTAGTAGTAAATAACTTAGTAACCTAACTGTATCATGTTAGTAAACAGAGTCAAATTTCTATGCCCATTGCAATTCAAAACCGCACGCTGAGGTATGAAGTAAGTGAAATATAAAATATGCTACCTCATTAGCAATATTTATGACGTGATTAGCGACAGGAAGCCGCCAAAATAACTGGTCACGAATCACTACCTGTTGTCGCTAGAACATTCCCTGATGTATTTTTGAGGACAAAGTACAGAACAAGCTGTTTTAGTCTAGAAAATTCTAATGAAAGAGCAGACGACGAACAAAAGACAGCAGCAAAGAAGGGGTCACGATCCTGCCTCACGCATAAATTTTAGAACCAGCAGTTTCTGATAGAAAGTGCAGTGCTGCGAGGTAAACTAAATGTACTTTGAGCCTGTGGGGTACGGCATATTAATGAAGGAAAGAAACCAAGGAGTCGTTTATTCATTACGTAATGCTTTTCAAAGATAACCGAATAACGAAAAATATACAAAAGTACAAAAATAAGGCGTAAACATATAACATGCGAAATGTATGGATTTTTCATCCACGAATTTTTGGTTTCTCTTACCTCCACAGATACTCACTGGTTTCCTCGCTACGCTCGCTCGCAACAAAAACTTCATTTGTCACAGCGTTTGCATTTTAAACAGTATTTCACGTGTCACGAGTTTTGAAAAGGGAAAACCTAAAATGTCACCAAACCTTGCCGTTTTGCAAAATTCACGCGTCATATTTAAACCTTGTGCTTAGTCACGCGTCACGTATAAATACATCGCTAACCTCACAAAATGCATACACTGGCCAAGTGCATCAAGCAAACCAAAAATTGATTTTTGTCCGATTACACTTGTATTAGTTAATTTCCCATCCTAAACTTTAAAATTCTCCCCACGAACCTATCTACAAAACGCTTGCAATTTGGTTTGAAAAATTCTATTTCCATATGAAGGTCAAATACTGAACTGTCTGAGTTTCAGCCAACTTATTGGAGCCAAGATTTTTACTGTCATGAAAAAAATAATCTTTTCTCTTGTTTTCCAGCGCATCGATGCATGATAATGTCCGGCTGCTTGAAAAGTCATCAAAAATCCGCATAATTATTGCTCTTGTTGTTACTGATGTCGAACCACTTATGGAATGAAAGTAATGTTTTATAACTCTATTGATAACAAGCGATGTGTGTTTTAATTTCAATTTAAGTTGCTTTTCTTTTTGGAAACCTCTGTGATATTAGCATGTTTTTTAATTAATTTATTTTTAACTCGAAAGTGTTGTTCAACTTCCAAAAGCCTTTGATTAAAAAACCCCTACGATCTGGGAATACCGCAAATCTCACAGCATGCCTCTAGAATGTCTACAAAACTATGTTCCAGTTACAATGCAGAAGTGAAACTGCCTTAATAGGTTTTCAACAATTTTGACGCGAGGAAAGAAGGCTCTCTTGCAAAGTCGCTATTTGAGTGTCTGTTACAGTTCCGTATTTCGATGCTTACCTTTTTGCTTTTTTTCTTCTTCTTAATCGCCTGAACAAACCATCGTGATACGTGAACAAAAATGAACAAAAAATAAAGTTATGTGTTATCCAATAGGAACAAAACAATAGGTAGAAAAAGATAAAAACGACACCCACAAAAACTGCTAAAGAACGACTTTCTATCGATCTACTGTTGATTTTGAATAAATTATTCAAGAGGAGTTTCTTCGCTGGGGAGCTTCTGTGTTACACCTTTATTTCTAAAAAATATATTTTTTGTGATTTTCCTTTGATCATAGTTTCTTTCCAATTCAATACCAAAATAATTATACTGCACTCATTCACACTGTTCTTCATCATGGTTATTCGCATACCACAATTTTTCTTTTGTTTTTGTTTTTTTTTTAATAGATTTTATCTATTTCTTTACATTTATTATCTCTCCTTCCCAAAATTTTCTTTTTTGCTTTAAATGGGTGCATTTGTCTTAAAAATCTTTAACTATATCGACATCTTTTTTTCTGTTACTTTAATAGTTAAATACTTTGACTGAACACCATATTATATCAATGAAAAGGTGTTCTTACTATATCAATAGTTTCTATTTTTCTCCTCCTTACCTCAAATTAATTAGTTTAAGATCTATGTCGAGTGAGAGTCTTACGTACGCAGCCCGCACTGTTCTACCCGACGCAATCTCTGATGTATCATCTAGTTAAATGTGATATCAGTCCCTCAGTTGAGATAGTGACAGGGACCTGCAAACCACAACGACAACGGCAACGAGAAAGTGGCAAAGCGAAAGATCTAATGGGCAGAACAATGGTTCAGCACGTGCGTTTTAAAACTTCAACTTTCCAAAATAAGAATGTGAAATCACCTAAATTTGCGTGGTCTGAGAACGGAGGCTATGTGAGTTTTTATTGGAACGTAACGCTACTCTCAAACACTACGCTGAAGTTAAAGTATGGCACCGAAAAGAAAAGACGGTGAACACCTGCAGGCATTCGCGAAATCCTACATAAAAATATAAATTCATTTTTCAGGCGACTTCTTCTTTAGCGTTGTCTTCCTAACTGCTAAGGGCCCCTAATAATTGTACGTTATAGTATCAGCAATATCCTATCACATTACAGGTCAATGATGGCACGAAAGAATGCTGAAGGACGGAAAAATAAAGAGAAATAAGGGCAATCTTCTACGTTGGAACTAAGAGTTGCCATTTGTACTGCACGATTTTGTCGGACGAATTTAATTTAAGTGATGGGGACTCGACACAACAGATGTTTACCTTTCTTACGCTCAAAGCGTTGAATCGCGAGCATTTTGTTTGAGTAAAGCTTATACCACATACCTCTTCAAGACACAGGAATCGCTATCAAAGTTGGCTTCTGCGTTGAAGACTACAGCATGTTGCGTGCTGGCGTGTTGGTTTAGTGTCATCAGTCCGTGCGGAACTTATTTCGAAAGATTTTCCCCTGTCAATGAACAAACACGGGCCTTCTATAATACATGTAAACGGACTGGTGGTTTTTTCGTTGTACGATCATTTAGTATGGCATGCAAAATTAGGCGCAGGTTTTAGAAGAGTAAAAAGGAAATAAGGAAAATTTGTGGAAACAGTACTCTTTACAACGGCGCCACGTCGGAAACCACCACGACCTTGGTTCAATAGAAACCTATATTTTTTTCTGCATATACAGGAAGAAGACTTCATAATCAGCTCCAATAAAAGCCTGCAGTATGACAAAAGAATTAATATTACAACAGCTGTCATTTAATTGACGTACGACTTTGATGTATGAAAAACACAAAATTGTGGAAACAAAAGGCGTTTCGCACTTAACTTTTGTCGAGGACGAATCGATTAAAGCGATTCCCCTGTAAAATAATAGCCACTAAATATTTCCTGTCTTTCCATTTATCGCACTGGGCACTGGGACTAACAATTGTTTTGACGTCAATTGCCCTGGCCGAGTAGTTAAATCAGGAATCCTCCAAGCGAAAAGTAAATATCTAGATATGAAGGAAATTAAAATCCTCTTTCTTTCGTCAACTAAAGGCAACTTAGGAGAAATTCTTCTCTATAGTTCCATTAGCTTTCATCGTCGATTAAAGGGGATTTCTGCTAATGTCAGCTTGTTGACTTTAGACTACTCAACATTATGATTGGGAGGTTTTTTAGGAGACTATAAATGAAACATGACAGAACAAGTGAAATAGTTTTTCCCCAAACATCGTCATCACAGTTCCGCTCGCTCTTAATTTTATGAATTAAAGATGATTTCTGCGTATTAAAGCTAGCCCTTCGACTTTAGGTTAATCAACAATGAAGTCGAGAGGTTTTGAAGAAACTATTAATGAAACATAGCTGGGAAAAGAAAATATATTTTCCCCAATTTTTTTTTTACAGTCCCGCTAACTCTTATTAAGGATTAATCTGCCAGTTGAAGCCGTCTCGATTTTAAGTTACTTAACATTTTAATCAAGGGGTTTTGAGGAAACTGGTGAAATATGACAGGAAAATGTTGACGTATAGACGTTTTTTTCCCGAATTCTAAACAGTGTGACCAATTTAAGAGTGGTTCATTTGATAGCCGTCACTGTGGGATGTCGTATGCATTTAACAAAGCTGATCTAAAGATGTGTAGGGTAACAGATGTGTTTGTTCTTAGTAGTCACTCAATAAATGAGTGTTCAATAACTTGTCTCACGATTTAGAGTAAAATCAACTAAAACATTCCAAATTAACATGTCGCATTTCTTACGCAGACAAAAGGGTGCGGGCGGAAAATGGAAAACTAAAACACGCCGCAAAAAAAATCAAGAAATTACAAATTATGAAAAAAAAAAAAAACAACAAGCACGAATAAAAATGTTGATGTGTTTTTTTTCCTAGCGCCAAAGAACAAGGTTGTGTTAACTTCATCCAAATCATTTGCATGTGAAAAAAGATTCTTCATTATTCCGCCCTTATACTAACATATTTTTCTCCTATTTGGATAGTTTTATAGCAGTGGAATATCATACATTGGAACTTAGTTTAGGTTTATGAATTTTGAAGAGTACAAGGAAAAATTTGTGGGTGTCTGTAAATATCATTGGAATTTCGCGAACGGTGAATACGTTATTGTACACTCGGAAAATACCAATGAACAAAAGGAAAAGAAGCTGTTTGCCGTGCGTTAACCGAGCGGTTGATGCCGAAAAAGGATTTGTTTACCTGCATTTAGCGCGAAGGAAAACGAATACTGGGATTCACCGATGCGAAAACGCACAGAACACTTCGGATTTTCCGTATACAAAACAAGGGTAAATGTCAGTTAAATGCGACGTTTTCCGTATATTCAATCTTTGTTTTCCGTATGACGAACGCTAGTTTTTTTGCCGTGAGTGAGACATCTAGTTGTCAATATGCAATCTATCTTCTTTTCTTTATTATATCAACATCATAGTCCTTTTTCAACCAGAAAAATCGGTTTTTTGAATCAACCAGAGACAATGACGCGAAAGGGGACTGACGTGTGGGCAGCAGTTGGAAATATCAAACAGAAGTGAACATTAATTTTATATGAATGCAGTTACAGTTTTTCTCAGCGCTGGAAATCCTCGTAAAAAAACCGTAATTTATTTGATGAATATCTGTTCAAAATCGAGGCGGACCTTTGAGCCCCACGTGTTCTCCCTTGCAGCAATTGTTTGCTCTCGTCACGTTACACTCCCTCACGCAACTTTCTCTCTCATGCAATTTCTCCCTAACCCGAATCACACATTATGGTCACGAGAATAAAGGAAATGAAGCTCTTGATTATTAAATAAATTCTCCTTGTCATTACCGTGGGAAATGTATAGAGTAAACTATGGAGAATATCCATACTGATTTAAGGCTGTAAAGGGTTAAGAGAGTGTCTCTGTAAGAGCGGTCCGGTCGATTTTGCTTGAGACACGGATTTCGCTCGTTTCACGGGTGTTGTAAGACATTCATGTACCTGTACTAAAACCACAATCAGTTGGATCGGATCTCTTTATTTTTCAGAGTTTTACGAAAATTAAATTTCACTCGAGCGAAGGCTTGTCGTGACACTTTTCAAGACTTTAATTTCATACAACTTTGGAGGACAATTTACAAAAAAATACGGAACTCAGCAAAAAACAAATACCACAGCCATGTATATTAACTCTATCTTATCTATCGAGGTGACTTTCGTAAACATCACGTGTCAATTAAGGAAACAGGAAGACTTGAATGACACCTTATCGGTTCGCTTAAATCACACACGCCAAAACCGATCAAATTCAAGGTAAATTTTTGAAAAAGTGAGGCGTTCTTAACTGATCCAACTAGCATAGCTAGGAAGTAGGTGCCATAGAAAAGGTAACTACAGAAACAAACTTTGCGGCCCGACCTTTACGAGAACTTTATAACTCCGTGAACTTACCTAATTTTCGGCAATCTCCAAGTTTGGCCGCCATTTTGAGGGACTTGTCAAAATGAAGCGTAACCGATATAAATCAAGCAGGCAGATCTAAAACCGTCAGAAATACATACGAAAGCAATTCAAATGAACTTTACTTTCAATTCAAGCGGCAAAATTTGAAATTGTTCGTCAAACTTACCATCCCCATGCGACCATTTCTTTCAACAATTCAAACACTACAACTAGTGTTCGAATTCCCCTCGTCGATTCCACCGTAAGAAATAACCTGTGCCACCCAAGCTTCGACTCGAATGTGAAGAACGAATCAAATAACATAACTGCTTCATCTTCGCTGGCATTTTGATTTTCCGATCGACAAGAACGGTGATCAAGAATCGATCGGTTTGTTTACCTCATAAACGTGACCGCTGAATAGCCGCTAATTGAAAACAGCATAGCGCAGGGTGGGGTGGGCGGCGGGCTTATCGTCATAAGATATTCGCATACATGCTCAAAAAGCTCTAGGACTATCAGTATAAACAGTGAAGGCATGCTTCGTGGTACAGACAACTTTTATTTTATTCTCATAACTTTCTCCTTTAAATTAGAACTGGTATTAATTAATAGAGTTATCAATATATTCTTAACCGGGGTACCCATATAACCTTTTTGCTTGTCATAAGTGGTATAAAAATAAGGAGTCTTTTCCACCAGAACCTTTTATTTATGCCCCATTGCACGGAATTAACACTATACTTAGAATGTTTGCCCTAAGTAATTTTTGCTGTTCCCAAGAATGTATGCAAAGTGATAGAGATTCATTCCGCTGACACGTTCTTTTAAATTATGGTGCGTGCAAGTTTTTTTCTATCAACAGTCGCGCGTGCAACACACCGGAATTGAAAATTCGTCGTAAAATTTCATGAACCTTAGAATGGGTGTAGGCAACTTTGACTTCTGGCGAGATTAAGTGGATGGTTCAAAGGACCCCCTGAGACTTTTTTTCAGGACTATAACTGAGATTTGTTTATAACTATGATAATCGTCATCATTAGCGGACGGTGCTTTTTGCCCACTGTTGTTATCATATCGTTATCACGCCGGAAGGAGTATAAAGCCGGCATGTCGCCTGTGACGAACGTTCAGCAAGCGAACTGAACTGAAATGAACTGAACTGTTTTGTTTTGTGTGATTATTTACTATCGTTTAAATTCTATTATCGTTTCATTGTTCATTCTTTTAATCATTTATCAGAGCGTATTTGATCGTGTTATTAGCCGCCTATCATGTTTAAAGCCTGTTACTTACATAATCTCTGTAGTATCACATATCGGAGTGTCGGAGTAAGTTGTCGGAGTATATCCATCTAGAGTTTTCTATCGGAGTTATCGGAGTTTTCGGAGTAACTGGAGTCACTTTCCCACGGAGTTTCTTTTACCCCTTTTACGCAGGATCAAACGTGAGTTTCCTTTGTACATTTAATCGCCTTTTTTATCGTTACATTCATTTGTAATTTCCATAGAATCATTTCTGATTACGCGATCATAAATCTCCTTTTAGTTTTCACCGCATTGTAACACGTTGTACTCAATAAAAACTGGAATGAGACGGATGTGTATATGTGGTTGACACTCAACGTAATCCCAACCCTTGGGTACGCGACATCGCCTTACCTAGCTACACAGAAAATTGTTCTCTCTTTTGCTCCCCTTAGATCCTGGAAACTGTTACTATTAAGAAGATCAACAAGAAAGCCTTTATAATTATTGAAACTTTTGATTAACAGAATGTAAGAAAAAATCGGTGGGAAGAGTTATTCGCGTATCTTATAATCTGAACGATAGTTTTAAATAAAACAAATAGCACTTAATTCAATTTACCTTAGTTGTCTCGTGTTTAAAAGTGGCGTTTCTGAGGACTGTAGATTCTTCTCTGATTCTTATTGTCTCAGCCAAGACTCACTATCATCAAATTTTTTCTTGTGCTTCTTACGGCATTGGACACAGAGAGCTGAGGTAAGCGATTGCAAATTTCTCAGTTAAAGTAAAGCCCAGTAGCATCCATCAGGAATTAAGAGGCGACCTCTGTAAAAGCGGTCCAGGGCATTTCGCATCGGAATAAAGTTTTCCCTCAAACTTTGCCCAATAATCTACCTTTGGTAGCGAGTAAATAAAACCACATTAGTTTCTGGAAATACGTTAAACTAAAATTTTTAGAGCTCTCAATAGTCAAAGCTGCAAAAGGCCCTTTTTTGACCGCCTGCGACATCGAAAATTTCAAAAGTTAAAAAGCCCGGTCCTCGTATCACACCGCATGCAGCAAAAGATCTTTTGTATTCTTAGACTGTGTAATATGTATGGTGTATAAAAAGCATTTCAATTTTTATATTCGTTTATTCAGAGGTTCGTCATGATTTATTTAATAACACACGTTAGACAGCTTTCTGAAATTGGTCAAAAGTACTCTTTCTTTCTTGGTTGATATTGCTCAAGTCCAGACCAGACTATAGAAAACTCCGCTTGATTTTTTCTAATACGATGTTTGGCATAAGAAAAATATAAAAACATCTTGCACTTATTAGTTTTCTTCGCCGTGGTGACTTCAAACTTTTAGCGATTTTGCTAGCGTGACAGCCGATTATGCAAATTAGTTCATTGAGCAAACTCCGACCGTTTTACATAAGTAGCTCAATAAATCTTAGATTTTGGCCATTTTAAGTTGAAAATATAGTAGGACAGAGCTTTTAGACCACACTGATTGATACTCTAAACATTTTAAAAGGCCAAAATTTGACGAATTTTTCTATCTCGTGACGAAAGACGTCAACAACAACGTATCGAATATCATAATTTGATTAGCGCTCAGTCAACCTTCTAATGGCAATTTGTTATTTCATATTTGAGTTCTGACAGCTTACGCTATTCAAACCTGTGTGAACATTTCGGAACCAAAGTAGAGGATTTTATTTAGTGCAACTGGCGATAACAGCGCACACTAAAATATACCTTGACCAGTGACTCTGTCACGTAATTCAATTGTGTAATTATCCTGAATTACTTCTCCCATCTAGATAAAGCAGCGATAACATCGTCTTTTGGCTCAGAATTCTAGTCGGCAGGAATAAGAGAAACTTTTGTCTGCACACCTGACTTTATGAGAGTTTCTATTCACAACTTTAGAACTTTCTTGTAGAAAAGGACTCCGCGTTTTTAAAGGAAATAAATTATTTCGTTACGTGTCACCTAATTTTTAATCTATGTTGTAAAGTGCGTAATCCTATTAGCTGTAATTCAATTGCTTCTTTCGGTACTGATTTGCTTTTGATTAATAACACTAAATTCTTGAAGCAGCATTCGCAGTAAGATGTCTTGCTTTCTGTCGCATTCCTTAGAAACTTCGTGCGGAGACTCACGAGGAGTTTCCGGGTTGTTTAATTTACTTCAGTGTACTGACTCAGTAGAGAGTCATCTCTCCTTTATCCATTTGTCAAAAGAGAGTGTCACGGAAGAAGAGCTTATCCTAGCAAGGGCTGGCCTGTTCGATATAGATGACTCAGTTATGGCAAAAATGTTGGTCTGTGCAAAGCATAGGCACACCTATGGGAAGTTCTGGCGCCAAAGATCAGCGTGCCAGTATCCGACACACCCTGGTAGCGATTCCAAGGGGGCAAAGAGCCGGTATTCTGTCAATTTGGAAATGTCGAAGGCCATTTCTAAGATGTATGGCGTTCTCGTTCAAGTAGGTTCAGGTAGGAACAAGTGATTTAAGATACTGAAGTGGCTGATTTCAACCAATCTCTCCCGTTTTCTCCCCAATCGCTCGTTCGTATATTAATCCACTTTTTCCTAGGTCCAGTTATTTGTATTAACTGCTGCAACAAGCACAATGCTTCTGTGAAGGAAATGCCATGGGTCTCTTTGGAATCCACAGAGAAAGAAGACAGTGATCCCTGCGCTTATGTGAGGTAAAAGAGTTTGTGCGAATAAAAAGCGTTTGATATTGATGCATGCAGTTGTGTACATAAGCTGAGATACATAACCCTTTTCCAATAAGAAAATGCTCTACGGGCGGTAATTGTTAACAAATAACTTTAGTAATTAATCATAGCTTACTGGAGTTTTGCCTGTCAGGGATCTCGAGGTAATTGCCTTTTGGTTACGTTAATTGCAAGACACACCGAAAGGTATATCTGTTTGTATCGATTCAGTTTTTGTAGATATTTTGTAAACTACAAAAGAGATGTGCCTAGTGCTAAAGCAGTTAGCCTGCGTACAAGGCTCTCGGCGAAAAGCCTGTAGTAAGCATCTGAGAGAACAGACGCTATGTCTTTCTCTCGCGTAACTTCTCGCTCGCGCGTGCTAGGTTTAATCACTCGCGCCCAGTTGACTTTGAAAGCATGTTACCTAGTTTATGTGTACAAATTCATCTAAAACTTGATATCTTTAATCGAAGGCCAAGCAAAGATGCCGCTCTAGAGAAGTTCAAACTAGCCATGAGCTCACCTATTACACCAAGTTCTTCCAGGCTATCCCACAGCACCAATGACGAAATGTGGACTCCTTCAGCCGTGTTGGCGCTTGACGAAAGCATAGAAATACAGGATTTCAGACCAACGAGAGGAAATGTCCAAGATCCAATTCAAGTTTTCAATGCATGCATTGATAGCCTCGCCGATGCTGTACAAAAACCCAGGATTACACATTTGGAATCCCAAGTAGATTGTTGGGAAAAATGCTCCTTTACTGAAAAATCTGAATTTGTGCAAAAAGCTGGGGAAGCGTGCCAGCTGGTGTGCGATGCCATAGCTCCAAGAGATGGTAAAGCGTTATTCCAAGCAGTCGAAGACCATGAACAGAAGTGTAAGACAGCTATTGATATTGGCCTTCAAACCCTTATGGTCGCCTATCAGAATGCTCCCACAAAATCACTTAAGACTCAAATACTGAGTATTTATGCTGATAGATTCTCAGCCAACGAGCTTAAACGCTTACATCAACCATTTGAAAACCTCTCCGATAGACAAATAAAGAAGGCAAGAGCACAGGCGAAGAGTGAGGGGCCTGGAGTGCCCATTGAAAAAATCCCGCGTCATAGAATCCGTTTACAACAGCGTCAGCTAGACCACTTCTTAGAGTTCACTATGAGGCCATATTACTATCAAGACGTAGCCTACGGTACTTGCACCATAAAACTTGAGAACGGTGAAGAGTTTGTCATACCTAACGTGGTGCGCACAGTGGCCAAGTGCACCATCATTAATCAATACATGGACCATTGCAAACAAACTGGATTTCAACCGATAAGTAAATCCACGATGTGGAGAGTACTAGAAGTTCAAGGGGCCACACAGAGGAAATCATTGCGGGGTCTAGACAATACTGCAGCTGAGGGAGCGGATGGTTTTTTAAGGATTTTCTCCAAATTATAGACGAACTGGAACGCGTGGGAGCGGAAAAGGATTGGTGTAAAGAAGTTCGGAAGAGGCTTCAGGAGAGCAAGTTGTATTTGAAGACTACATACCGTAATCACTGCAAAGAGGACGATAGCAAATGTGCCGATCACTGTAGGGTATTTGCACTGAGCGATGCTGGTGACACTGACTTTCAGAAAGTATGCAATCATAGCCACAACGTGAATTGTGAGGATTGTGAGAAGCTGAAAAGTGTTCTTGAAGAAGTTAGTGGTTTTATTTCTGAGTACACAATGCAATTGGGTAAGGTTCAAGCGGAAGACCATCTTTATGAAGCAAAAAATGCTGCCGCTAAGATCTTTGGATGGAAAGGGCATATCCTGAGAGAAGAGAATCAGAATCAGTGCAAGCGTCAAATTCTTGACTCTTTGAAGGGAGATGAAGCATTTATAGTAGTTGACTGGGCAATGAAGTTCACAGCAATGAAGTTCCGGGAAAAGCAAGCAGAATGGTTTGCTAAGAGGGGAATCAATTGGCATGTGAGTAGCGTTGTTGTGAGACAGGAGGAAAGCCTAGAAGTAACTTGCTACGTACACCTTTTTAACAGCTGTAAACAAGACTGGTTTTCAGTGCTGTCAGTCCTTGAAAATCTCTTTGTCACCATAAAGTTACAAAATCCAGGAATAAAAAAGGCCTTTCTAAGATCAGATGAAGCAGGTTGCTATCACAACAGTAAGCTGGTATCATCCCTTCGAGAGCTCGGACATCACCAGGGAATCGAACTCGTGAGGTACCATCATTCTGAGCCGCAGGCTGGAAAAGATATGTGTGACAGGATTTTGTGTCCGTTAAAAGCGTCAATCAGGAGATACTGCAACGAAGGCCATGATGTTGTTTCCGCCAAAGACATGTATAACGCATTGAAAGAGAGACCGGTCAAGGGAACGACGGCGTCAGTGTGCATAGTCCAGGAATAGAACTCAACCCTAGAAATTAACAAGATTGCCAATTTCAACAGCTTACACAACTTTGAGTTTACACATGAGGGCCTGCGCGTTTGGAGAGCGTTTAATGTTGGGCCTGGAAAGTTTATTCCATGGAATAAAATTGTAATTTGTCCACAGAAAAAGACGGATCTCGTGGAGGAGATTCCATTCTTCCCCACTACTGCTCGACGAATTGCATCAGCAGGAGAAAGCAATGATGGCAACGACGGTAGTTCCTATCAATGCCCTGAGCCTGGTTGCGATGAAGATTTTAAGACCCAGGCCGACCTTGACCTTCATATGAACTTGCTAGTTCATCATGTGAGTCCTGTGCCTGCGAGCATGACTGAAAGTCTTTATGACAAAGTGAAGAGGGAGTGGGTTCATCACTTTCAGTCATTGTCATTAGGGAATGAAATTTCGACTGAACTGGTGGCAATGGCCACAGAACCCTTGTCAAATGCTTCACAGCTTCCATGGGATGGGCTCTTCATAAGAGAAGTGCAAGTGTACGGTTTTCGCAAAATGTCAGGCAGTACTTGACACAGAAATTTAATATTGGACGAGACACTGGCAGAAAACAAGACCCAGAGAGTGTTACAAAGGATATGCGAACTGCCTGCACTATAGATGGAGAGAGAATGTTCGATAGAGCAGAGTGGTTATCTAGCATACAGATTCAGGGTTTCTTCTCGAGATTGTGCCTTAAAGAGAGATCTAAAATACAACAAGAATCGGATGATGCCACAGACGTAGACGACGAAGACGACGACTTGGTAGAGGCATCCGCGTCTGATGTAGACGAAGAGTGTTTGAGAGAGGCGAGGAACACAATAATGGATGAGATAGGACTGAAACATCCAATCATGTTTGATATCTTTGATGTGTGCTCGTTGGCAAGAGAGGGAAGGTTGCCTAGCCTGAAAGTCAAGATACTAAGAGACATATGCAAACATTTTCATCTCTCATTCAAAATGCGAGATACAAAGGCAGCACTTCTTGCAAAAATGGAGGAAATGATTTCGGAGAGCAGTTGCTATGCAATCTAGTTATGACGTCCACTCGTTAGGCGAATGCGATATTCTTTTTTTACAAGAACCCTCCAAAGTTATGAACCGAGACTGTTATGCAGACAGGTGTGACGACAAAATAATATTTGTTCCTGTCTGCTAGATATCCGAACAATCGCTGCTTTATTTCAACGTGAGAAGTAATTCAGGATAATTACACGATGGAATTACTTGAGAGTCACTGGTCACGGTGTATTTTAGTGTGCGCTGTTATCGTCGGTTACACTTAATAAAATCCTGCTGTTTGGTTCTGGAATGTTCATACAGGTTGAATAACATAGGCTGTCAGAACTCAAATATGAAATAACAGAAGCCAATTTTTTTAAAAAAGATTGCCATTAAAAGGTTGACTGAGCGCTAATCAAATTATGATATTCGATACGTTGTTGTTGACGTCTTTCGTCACGAGATAGAAAAGTTTGTCAAATTTTGGCCTCTTAAAATGTTTAGAGTATCAATCAGTGTGGTCTAAAAGCTCTGTCCTACTATATTTTCAACTTAAAATGGCCAAAATCTAAGATTTATTGAGCTACTTATATAAAACGGTCGGAGTTTGCTTAATGAACTAATTTGCATAATCGGCTGTCACGCTAGCAAAATCGCTAAAAGTTTGAAGTCACCACGGCGAAGAAAACTATTAAGTGCAAGATGTTTTTATATTTTTCTTATGCCAAACATCGTATTAGAAAAAATCAAGCGGAGTTTTCAATGGTCTGGTCTGGACTTGAGCAATATCAACCAAGAAAGAAAGAGTACTTTTGACCAATTTCAGAAAGCTGTCTAACGTGTGTTATAAAATAAATCATGACGAACCTCTGAATAAACGAATATAAAAATTGAAATGCTTTTTATACACCTTACATATCACACAGTCTAAGAATACAAAAGATCTTTTGCTGCATGCGGTGTGATACGAGGAACGGGCTTTTTAACTTTTGAAATTTTCGATGTCGCAAGCGGTCAAAAAAGGGCCTTTTGCAGCTTTGACTATCGAGAACTCTAAAAATTTTAGTTTAACGTATTTCCAGAAACTAATGTGGTTTTATTTACTCGCTACCAAAGGTAGATTATTGGGCAAAGTTTGAGGAAAAACTTTATTCCGATGCGAAATGCCCTGGACCGCTCTTACAGAGATCGTCTCTTAAAAACCGACATGCACTGTTTACTTTTATTATTCTTAATCAAATAAGGGGTGTTTCAGTCTGCAAATTTAATCATACTGGTTAAAGAGAATCATACAAACTGAGGAAAACTGACCGCAAATAATTGTGAACCGTACGCATGAGTAAGTATATTGCGTTGTCAGGTGATTTGATCTTCTACAAAAACATTATTGATTATCAACCAAGCAACATTGTACATATTTCCATCTGCAATTAAAAGCACTTACACATAGATCTACTTTTTTTCAACGTGATTTGTACTTAAGTACCCTTCATCTAATAAAGAATTTCTTCTCTTTTCGAGCAGATATGTCACGTGACAAAAATAGATGACAGAAAATGTTACTGAAGACTACCTGATTCAACTGGAATAATAACTCCAAACAGCTTTTGAATGTCCTGAGACATATGCAAGGTAATTACATCTCTGCCTTGGATACGCTACCTGACACCATCATGATCAGGATACTGACATGTTACCTTTGCATTTCTCCAAAACTTCCCAAAAGTGTGGCGATGCCAATAGCAAATTCACATTTTTTTGTTTATCCTCCTGAGCGAGGTGAAATAGGCATCCTTGCCAAGATTAGCTCATTTTCACTTAAAAAAACCTCTTTAGACAAGTGGCAACTTATCAAATGATGTTTTACTTCGTCATTGCATTAAGACAGTCGTACCAAACCACTTAAGCCACACGATGAACCAAAGTTTGCCGCTCCATGCTTACAGAGTTGGGCAAAAACAAGACACGTTATTTCCGATGCGATACAAGAGGTTCAATGGTTATCTCGATTATCTAAACACATTTATTTACGTGGTAAAGATTTGTTTTTAAATCTATGAATTGATGCTAGTCCTATTTGGAACGAAATGTATTTGAAATAAAAAAAAAATACTAAGTAAAACAAAAGTTGTCTGCAACACGAAGGATGCCTTCGCATTAAGACTGAGAGTACTAATGTTTATCATGGTACTTGAATGCACATGTTCGAATGTTCCCAAAAATCTTCTGATAATCTGCCCGCACCCACCCCTCACCCCGCCCCTCGCCACTGAACCGTACTGCTTTCACTCAGCAACTGGTCAGCGGTCACGTTTATGAGGTAAATAAACCGATCGATTCTTAATCACCGTTCTTGTCGATCGAAAAATCAAAACACCAGCGTGATATTGCCGCGAAGATGAAGCAGTTATGTTATTTGATTCGTACTTCACATTCGAGTCGAAGCTTGGGTGGCACAGGTTATTTCTTGCGGTGGAATCGACGAGGGGAATTTGAACACTAGTTGCAGTGTTTGAATTGTTGGAATAAATGGTCGCATGGGGATGGTAAGTTTAACGAACAATTTCAAATTTTGCCGCTTGAATTGAAAGTAAAGTTCATTTGAATTGCTTTCGTATGTATTTCTGACGGTTTTAGATTTACCTGCTTGATTTATATCGGTTACGCTTCATTTTGACAAGTCCCTCAAAATGGCGGCCAAACTTGGAGATTGCCGAAAATTAGGTAAGTTCACGGAGTTATAAAGTTCTCGTAAAGGTCGGACCGCAAAGTTTGTTTCTGTAGTTACCTTTTCTATGGCACCTACTTCCTAGCTATGCTAGTTGGATCAGTTAAGAACGCCTCACTTTTTCAAAAATTTACCTTGAATTTGATCGGTTTTGGCATGTTTGATTTAGGCGAACCGATAAAGTGCCATTGAAGTCTCCCTGTTTCCTTGATTGACACGTAATGTTTACGAAAGTCGCCTCGATAGATAAGATAGAGTTAATATACATGGCTGTGGTATTTGTTTTTCGCTGAGTTCCGTATTTTTTCGTAAATTGTCCTCCAAAGTTGTATGAAATTAAAGTCTTGAAAAGTGTCACGACAAGCCTTCGCTCGAGTGAAATTCAATTTCTTTGAAACTTTGAGATCCGATCAAACTGAATGTGGTTTTAGTATAGGTACATGAATGTCTTACAACACACGAGAAACGAGCGAAATCCGTGTCTCAAGCAAAATCGACCGGACCGCTCTTACAGAGACACTCTCTTAAATATCACCATAATCACACAAATTACTTTTTTAAGCTGGAACTTATATTAGTCAAGCGCTACATTACTTTATTATCTCAATAAATTACTTTTTTAAGTTTTTAGCCCAAACAAGTACAGCTTACATGTCAACATAATTTCATTATTATTATTATTTCTGTCGAATTTTAAACTTTAAAGTGAAAGCTAGCTAAAATAATACAAAGGTACCACTATTATGATTTAACATTTAAACTCCCAAATAGTCCATTAGAAATTTTAATAAAGTGATGAACGAATAGTCGATATCCACTACGTTGTAAACACCATTCTGCTTGCTTTTTAATTGTTATTGTATGGAGAAATTACTTCTTTGTTATCCCTGGATGTGAAAAAGTTTCAAAAGGGAGACGTGTTACGGCTTTTTAATTCTTTTTTTTAATTTTTTAACTCCTAATTTTCAAGTGAATTGGTTACGAGTATTTGTTGTTTTATCAAGACAGCGCCTTCCAACAATAGTTAATAATTTATTAATGATAGAAATTGATCAAAATGGCTTTTAGGGCTGCGCGTTGAAATACAAAGAAAATAGTGAACCGAATATTACTAGGATAGAATAGAGCGAAGTGGTATGATGAACACGAATTTCAGCAGAAGGTTCCTAGGTTGTGAACCATATTTTTTAACGTGGCTAAGTAAATACCTTTCAATAGTTCATTCCAAAGATCTACAAGCCTTTACGACTTCCAAGTATTTTTTTTTGCTAAGTTTGGCTCAAAGAATATAGATCTCACGTCAAGACAGAAGCCCTCAGAAGTTCATCGGCAGTCGGCTTGACGATGTATTGATTCTGCCAGAGGAAATTACTTATAGAATAATTTTTCTCTAACAAGCTGGGTCATTATCAAGTTCATATTTAACACGAGTCCCACAAACTGATGGAAACCACTATGTTAAAAGCTCCGTGTGAGTTGATAGAATGAAAAAGATGATAAATTTTCGGCTTGATAATAAAACAGAGAAAAGTGGGTAAGCGTGGGTCCAAGAACGACTCACGAGGAGGCGAGAAATTACTTTTTGGTTTTTTACGAAATGAAATAGTTAAAGATTGCTCTCTGCATCTGCTTTATCATCTAGCAGCTGGAGTTCTTTGAAAGTCGCTCTTGTAGTGGGGAGACTTTCCTTGCGGCTTGAAGGAATCAAGTGACTTGAGCGCGGACCCCGCAGTGTCCCTCGAATAAACGTCCTTAGTCTGGAGGAACTTGTAAATGAGACCCGCATGGAAAATATTCTTCGATGCCCACTGCTCTCATCCCTGTCTTGGGAACCTCTCATAAATTCTTTACAGCTGGTGCACCGGGTCTGCAAGGTCCCAAATATGAAAGGGTTCATACAGCTGTTGGCGTACACCAAGATATTTGTAAAAACCAACAGGTCGTAAAAGTGCTCGAAGTTTGAACCACTCCCAAAGTCATTCCAGATCCACATTACGTGATTTGGCAGCATGCATACTGCGAACGCAACGACCGCTGCCACAAAGATTTTCACAATGCGCAAGTTACGGTGTGCACGCGTTTTGAGCACTTGTCGCCCAGTCATACCACCCTCTGTATCAGCCATAACAACCTGAAGAGTCTTAATGTCCTTGTAAAGCCTTCTCCCAATTTGTACATAAGCAACAGTTATGCCAAAAAGTGGACAAACGTATAGCACGATAAAAACAGACTTGGTGTATGCTTTGACGTAACTCACACCAGGCCAGTTCTCTATACAGCTTCCTGAATTGAAACCCAGTACGTAAATATAGGGAGACACGAGTAATGTACTGCCGATCCATATGATGCAAATAATGCAGACAGGCTTCCTTCCCTTCATCCGGGGCTTCAGCGGGTGCAGTATGGCTCGATGTCGTTCTAAGCTCATCGCCAGTAGTGTCGCTACAGACACAGACATTAGAACCGTCTGGAGAGGATACACCAACTTACAAAGGAACGGGCCATATGGCCAATAACCGGCTAATCGCTCGATAATATCCAATGGAATGCTAACAATACTGGTTAATAAATCAGTTATTGCTAGGTTGAGAATAAAATACTCACTTGTCTTTCTCTTTCTGCGACTGAGGATTGCCAGGCATATTAACGCATTTCCGATGGAGCCTACAGCGATTATAACGGAGTAGAAAAACAGCTGCAATATCCGCACAAACTGAAAATCAGAACCACCAAGGCTGGTTGAATTATTTTGTGAAATATTTCTAAGTACTGACCAGTTAGACATGATAAGTTATCAATCATCGGATTGAGTTTCCGCTTTGCAGATAAACGATGGTAAATTAAAAGTTAGATCATTCGAAGAGCTGTCTTATACACGGTGTAACAGTTAAGAAACAAATTCGTCATTGAGAATTTCACTCCTTCCATTTTCCTTTTACCTGCTAAAAGAAAGAATACAATTATTAATTAATTTCAAGAAAATCGCACCGTCTGGCACAAACTACTTTGCATATAAAAGTGATTCATGAGATAAAAGAGACAAAATCCGTTGAGGCGTACTAATTACACCTTAACGTCACCTCTTCAATTGGTGTCGTTAACTATGTGATACATACCCACGGTCATTTCGTACCCAAATGCAGTCGATTCGTACCCAAGTTTGTGTCGGTTCGTAACTAAGTTTGAGTCCGTTTGTACCCAAGTTTGAGTCGGTTTGTACCCAAGTTTGAGTCGGTTTGTACCCAAGTTTGAGTCCGTTTGTACCCAAGTTTGAGTCGGTTTGTACCCAAGTTTGAGCGCGACCGGTAAACATAGTATCAATATGAGTGAAGAAGTTTAGCCCACAGTATATCTCAAAAACATTTTTAGCTGTTTTAAGTTTGGATCACCCACATAATTAATGGCATTGTCACCCTCATATTGGTTCGTTTTCACCCCAAGGTCACCTTCTCAGACGATGCCATTAACTACGTGGGTGATCCAAACTTAATAAAGCTAACATTCTTTTTTTAGATATATAGTTAGGCTTAACCCCACACTTATATTGATTCGTTTACACCCTAAGGTCACCTTCTAAGAAGATGCCATTAACCCAGTATGTGGGTGATCCAAACTTAAAACAGCTACAACTGTTTTCGAGATAAGTTGTAGGCTTAACTTATTTACTCACATTAATACTTTGTCCTGAAAAAAAAACTGAGTTTTTCAAAGCTCTCTTCAATTTAGCTGAACTTCAAAACGCCAGCTTTAAGTTAAAGTGTGGACGGTACAAGAGAGTAGTTAGTCGTAACTATTGAACATATTATCATTGCTACTTAAACAGCAAGATTGAAATGTTACGGGCATATTCTTCTCTGAGCTCAAAATATTTCATCCCAATATTTTTTCAATCCTTTCCGTAAACTTTCTTCACCTGAATGTGGAAGTGTGTCAAACTGTGTGATAGAAAAAAACAGTCTGCAATTTTATAGAAAATTATCCAGTATTGTTTATTGAAAAAGATTGTCAAAAAAAAAACTCTTAAAATTGGTTATATTGACCTCAGTTTGTAAGATCGAAATCTTTTACAGTTAAATGAATGTCAAAAAGATCTACTACGCTGCTTTGAACACAGTTATTTTTTGATCAAATATAAGCAAAACCCAAAGCGTTTAACCCTGATCATTTATCCGCCGCAAATGGAAAAGCGAGATAAAAAAGTTGTATTCATTAATCTGACAGCATTGATCTTCGACAACAATACTACATAGAAAAAACGGGTTTGACTTATATAGTACCTCGGTCTTGATTTTCGTCATAAGCTCCTTGTATTAGAAGCAGCCAAAAAGCGAAAATTAACTTTTAATGTTCAGTACTGTGGCTCGTGTCCTATCCAAACAACTCTTTTATTTGCATTGCAAATGCGTCTTTATATACTTTCACAAAAACAAAAACCAATTGAAAACACATGCTTTTATTATGGCCACAAAATTGATCTCTAAGACAAAACAGAAGAAAAAAATTGCTATATCGAAATATATTTCAAAAATAGATATATATTAAAAATAACTGACCAGTTTCTTGAAGTGAGACTTGTCAGAATTTCTTTTGTTTTCTTTTCTTAAAATCATAATACTTTTAAATGTTCCTGAAAGCTTAATAGGCTTATGTATATGTTAATTTGACTTCAATAAGAGATAATGTGTCGTTAAAGTTGAACAATGCTTTTGTTCCGTACACTAAACATTGCGATATACTCGTTTTCGTCGTATTTCAAAGATGTGGCTTAGAATGAAGCTCTATAAATTAAACTATCAGTCTTTGCTGTAGTCTCTTGGAATGACCACCAGTTCCTTTGTAAGATAGCAGCACCGAAAAAAAAAAGTAACTTTGACTATTCAGACAACGTATAAACCTTCCTCATCGATCAATTCGCTTCGAAGCAAGGTTAAGTGTGTACGTGCTATCTTAGCAAAAATCCCCTTGAGAAGATAGCAATGTTATAAATAAATAATTTTGACTTTGGGGGTAGGTAAAACATACATTAATGCACGGTTTTCCTCCTCAGCACCTCCCTCCCCCGCTCTCTTCTTTACTCCGGCTCTCGCCACTGCGTGACGATATTAGCAAACAACATCGCATCGACTGTTTAATAAAAGTGGGAGTTTAAGTCTTGTCGCCGCTTAAAATAGTAAAAACTTGTTTTTCTATTTAAAAAATACCACGTAGCGATAAAACAGCTGTTCTTGTGGCCAAAGTTATGAATATTGATAGCTAGTATAGGTTGATAATAAATATATTTTCGGAGAACATATTAATTTTTTTTCGCGGAAGATAAAGTCTTCTCTACGAATCATGTATCCAGGAAGTCTTTCCTCTTCCACCAAGCATAACTATCCTTACCCAGTCAAAATGGTACACAGAGGAACAAATTTTATATCTCCTTACGATCATTCCGCAGATCATATAATAAAATTTGACTGACTGAGCGGCTCAAAAGAAGGCAAAAGAGGGTGTTGCTAAAGAAGACGGGAACAACCTCCTTGACAACCGAAGCTGTGAAATTGAAACATCAATAAGACAGCCTCTCTTACGGTTCTAATTATAACACCCTTCATAAAATATTATGAAAAATTAATAGGCAATGACGATCAACCAATTACAAACTTAATACCTCATTAGGCCCCTATTAACCAGACTTTGCATATGATACGATATTGGGCCTTTGAACGAACTGTCCGCTTGTCTCCAGTGTTTACATTCACATCGTCGTGCCATCATGCAGTCGCGTACGAAGAGAACAGTCCTCCATGAAAATTCAATCACATGATCAAATGTTCCTCCTGGACTGAAAACATGGACTTAATATGTTTTCGACTGTTACTGCGAGAAAAACTATCCTCTTGCGCCCAAAGCAAAACGAATATTCAACGGCGTCCTCGTTGAAATGCTTACTCCACAGGCAAATCAATGAAACACTGTGCATCAGACAAAACAACCAGGGTCGGCGGAAATTACTTCTCGTTTTTGTTTTTGTTTCCTTATTTTACCAATGGATAAGAAATTATATACCATGATCGTTATAGACCTAATGAGGGTTATTTAATAGCGCATACTTGTAAAATGAATGTTCAGTTTTTTTTATGAAAGAGAAAAGAACGAACACGCATCGAATGATGAATAACATCCCAGTATACTTTTCAATATGAAACATTCACACTGGCCTAGATATGCCTCACTTTTTGCACAAATCATAATCACCTATACGTCAAAAGTGATTTACATCCAGCGAAACATGGAGCTATAAATAATTTTTATGAATTCTAATCATTTAAATTTTCTGTTCTCGTATTACTCTAGTTAATGCAGGAGGAAATTTCCTTCTTTAGAAAAGTTATTGAATCTAAAAAAAAAATTGTTTAATTTGAGACAAAGAGTGTTTAATTTCTTCACAGTCAAGTAAGCATACATGTAAGATACAGGAATTTTTATTCACTTTGTATTAATTTTGCTTTAGTAGTTTTAAACTGTCCGTGTACTTTTTTTTTTAATTTCTTATAATAAATTTTTCTGATATTTGCAATACAATACAAAAACCGCATATATCTATTGAATTAGTTTAAGAAAGGGACTTCTAATAATACCTGACTGAGACCAACCTCGGCTTTTTGCCCTATTTCAGATTGATATCATCTATTTAGAGGGCCTAGCTTCCAATAGAAAAAATCATTGACTCAACCCAATCGTTTAAGGAAGATTAAAAGTTTCTTAAAAACCAATGAGATTTTTTTTAGAGAACTGCTTCTTTGCGCTTCTACGCCTTGATTTCTCAAAATAAACTGGAAGTAGCTGACAGAAGCCAGTTTCTAAAGTACGTCAGTTAGTCGCGAGACTAATCTGATCCGTGACAGAAAAATCCTATATTGATCCCTAACTGATATCAAACTTCTATTCTTAGGGGAGGTGTTCAACTGCTAAATTGATAATGGCATTCTTCATGTTATTGTGAGTAAAATGCAGTCAGCTTTCATTTAGGAACCTCCTCAGTTACAGATTACCGCAAGCTGCAACGGTCATCAACTTTAAGTTATTGTATAAATACTGAAACATCTAGAGAGGGGAAAGAGTTCCGTTGGCTAACTTACAATGTTGGTGCAGTTACTTCCTCGTTTGGAGGAAGTACGCGACTGTAAACTTTTAGAAGCGAGTTTCGTCCCTTTTGCCCACGTTTAACGCGCAGTAGTCAGCCAATTGGTAAAAGTCGAGGCATTTTAGTGACGCTAAACTTTGGATTCCCTACCAATAAATTGAAAAGCTATATGTCCCAAAAATGTTTCTATCGAAATTATGTTAAATGCAAAAGCGACAAACGAAAAATTTACATCACTTACGCCTTAAGACTCGAAATAGTAACGAAGGTACTCTTCGAAATAAAGACTCGTGAACGATTTTTAATTTGAGAAAAAAACCTGATAGAAAAATTCTTGTTTTGCTCTCCACAAGTGCGTTTTACTCGCGAGAAGCAATGCTTTTGTAACTGATTGGAATTACCTGACTCAATTAATTTTATCGCTCCCGTTCGAGAACAGTAGGCCGAGCTCTAAGCAATTACCCAAAACACCCACTTTTTCTTCCACAACAAGCTAAGAGCTTAAAACGCCATATACACAGCTGCTACTGTTTTCGCTTTCGTCGTATTTTAGTGCGTTGCTCATAAATTTTCCTATCTGTCCACCTCCAGCTGTGCTAAGAGAAGAGAAATCCATTCTTTTTCTTTGGCAAACCACAGCAATAAACTCAATGGGT